TCTTGAGTAGAGAAACACGTCTCCCTTTCATTTACCAACCTTACAACATTACAAGATGCTGCTAAGTCACATTTTAATAACAGATTAACGCTAGCACGACGTCTAGTTGAATGTGCTTTCGGTATTTTAGCACAAAGATTCAAATTGTTTTTTAGTAGAATCAAAAGTGGCACTAAAAATGTTGATAATATTATATTAGCGACTTGTATACTTGCATACTTTTACACCACGTTATACAGAACAATCTATATCAGAACTAAGGCAGTCTATTCTTAATCCACTAGGACCACAACATCACAGACAATATACTAACGATGCATTTGCGGTCAGAGAAAATTTTAAGAACTACTTTTCATCACCATCCGGATATTTTTAATAAGTAAAGTTGGTTATAGGATTTATATGTATCCAGGTTGCCATACTAAACAGTATACCAGCCTGGACACATATATCCCATAACTGATTGTACAAAAAAGATAACAAACAAACAAAAAGAAACAATAGTAAGTATTATAGTTTTCTATAAAATTACATAAAAAGCATGTTTCCTAGTAGTACATAATAATATGTTGCAAGTAATAAATAAAACTTATACGACATTGAATTTCATGTCAAATGATTTATTTCTAGTGGGGGCAGCACTTTCGCATAGATCCTCGTCTTAAGTGACAAATAAAAAATAAAAAAATCTTAAAAATAAACAAATAATAAACTCCGTTTAAAATGCAGTGATACAAAATGAAAACAAAGAACAAACTTTTTTGGTACGACGTCGTGCAGATTTGAATAAAATCTTGTTTTCTTTCTCTTAAGTAGTCTTTCTAATATGATCTAGGTATAAAAAATAAGCAACGTTTTCCCCCAAAGGGAAGAAAACGATATATTGCATGTCTTGCCTAGGCTTGACCATAATGCGATAACACTTACTGTATCTATCCATATATTACCCATACATTCAAATAAATGCTTGCGTTCGTCTAGGTAGCGCCGTCGTGGGCGCTTCTCCCTCCGCGGGAGGCGGGGCGGTGAAGTGACGGCGGTCGCGTTCTCAGTACCTCTCACTAGTCATCAAGAGCTTATTCTGGTCAAGCCTAGGCAAGACATGAAATATATCGTTTTCTTCCCTTTGGGGGGAAAACGTTCCTTATTTCATGGTCTGTGCCGTCATCCAGTTCGTTTGCTGCCAGCCAATATAATATTTAAACGGTCCATACACACCAATATCTAGCGGTTGAAGATTATGTGAACAATGTGGAGGGAAAGACAAAAGTATGATGTGGTTTTTTTATGCTTCGGTGACGACGTCCACATTCAAATGAGAATGATGATTATCTATTAGCAATAAAATTGACTCATGTTCTGATGTTTTAACATGTTTTAGAAAGTGGTCAATAAATATTGAAAATTCTTTTTCAGTCATCGATCCGGAACTATTTCCTACGCCTACAGACCCGGGCGGCCCATTTTGGACGAATAAATTACTGTATCTGATCCGTGGAAAAACGAACATACATGGTATGAAATTACCAATAGCATTTGACGCTGCTGCAATTGTGACGAGAGCTCCCCGTTCTGCAGATGTGACTGCACCTACTTGCGTGGAACCTCGTTGAGCTACCACTTTCTTGGGTTTTTGCACCGTTATGACTCCAGTCTCATCTACGTTCCAGATTCTACTCGGTGAAAAATTGTATAGTTGTAGCACTTCTTGATATTTTTCGAAAATGAATGAACATGAGTACGGTTGAAGGATGTTGCTCTGCTTAAGCTGGTCGCCTCAGGACTCCAAATAGACAAGAATGCGTTGTTCTTCATAAAACCAGCAAACCAATCTTTGCCAGTCTTTCCGTCTCTTTTCCAAGATTCTGGAATATTATCTATCTTGTATCGAATGGCAAGCTCGTAAGTTAATTTTTTGACATCGTCCATCCAAAATCCAGTCCAGTCCAATCCAAAATAGATATTAGAACATTTTACTAAATTATCAGCTATCATTGTTTCTTGCTCAGAATTGAAAACTAGAAGGTTTTTTTATAACCCACTTCAACAGAAGTTCCCTCCTTTTTTCTTTACGTATAAAAACAGTGTTACTTGACAAATATTGTATTCAGTAGCAACATCTCCATATTTCTTGATTTTTACCAGAACTTCTTCAGCTGCCAGCTCAAATAGTTCTTGAGACGTAGGCCCCCTCGTACTCTTCCTTTTGTAATTTCTGATTCTATAAAAAACATACTTATTGCAAAAAACACTCGTTTAATATCACATACCTACATATGGGGTAAGTATTAACATGTTAATACTCACCCCACTCAATTTGTTAATTTCAGCCCAAAGGTCACTTTTTATATTTCCTAAATTACAGAAAATAAACTAGTCAAAATAATTACAAACAAGTATAATAGTTTTAAAATCAATAAAATACAATTCCATTTAGGAAAAACTTTAATTAAATTAAGCAAAAAAAATCTTAAATCAATTTAAATAAAACTAAATTTACGGATTCTATCGCGTTTATTTAACTTATTTTACTTATTTTTACTTCCCGACGTTTCGGGTGCTTTACAGCACCCATGGTCACGGGGGGGACTGAGATGTTTGACGTCCCATGTTATTGTTAGCCCGGCTACCTTCAGTTTTTGAATATTAATTTTTGGTCCGATTTACGCAAACCGAACTTACAGTATCTTGAAGTCTTGCAGTGGTATGCTTGTGTTTGGGTTTGATTTTGTTAATTATAGGATCCCAAGCAGATGGCAGCAACCAACCATCTTCTCTATTGAAATTAGGATGTTTTTTAATTTCAATAGCCTCGCGTATCATCCTTGGTAGGAATCGGTGTTCTTTTGCAAGGATTTGTTGTTTATCAAATCTGATGTAATTTATTTATTTATTTCTTTTAGGAAGGCTTACAGACTAATATCTTCGTAAAGTTACAAAATGGTGATAAAAATTGCTAATTACAAGCCTCCACATATTACTTTCATCTAACTTTATACAAATTTAAAAATACTTTAGGGAATACTTAACCTATTACAAAAACAATACCAAAAAAAATGCGAAAACATTAACCAGAAAAAAAATGAGTCAATGAGCAACTTGAGTCATGCTAGTCGCAGCTGCGAATGAAAAATTCTCTGTTCATCACTTTTTTTTACAGATTTAGAACTAGTGGAAAATAGGTCAATATCTACTGCAGATGAAAGCTTATTAAATTCCATTGCGCTACGCAGAAAGAAGGAATTTCTTCTATAATTCGTTGAAGAAGAGGTATATATAGCAAGGGTCGCTATCTAAATCTCATTAAATCGGTCCGAATCATTATGTGAGTAAGAAGCTCAGGAGAATCAATAGATCCATTTACTATATTAACTAGGAAACAAATATCATTGTCTTTACGTCTATATTCCAACGGCAAAAAATGATATCTCCTACATCTTTCAAGATAATTGGCTGAGTGTTTTTGTGCCTTAAAGTCGAGGTATCTCATAAATTTTTTCTGTATACTTTCAATACGAGCTATGTAAACTTTATATTGTGGGTTCCATACTTGGGACGCATATTCTAAATGGCTACGCACATATGAGCAATATAAAATCTTAATAGCTTTAAGAGAGCGGAAGCAGTTTGAAGTTCTTAAAATGAAACCAAGAGCCTTGGATGCTTTGTTGACAGTATATTCAATGTGTTTGTCGAATACCAATTTACTATCAAATATTACGCCGAGATCATGAATATGATTTACCATGCTAATAGTCTGATTATTAAGAGTATAACCAAATCCGATTCTAGATCTCTGTCGTGTGAATGTTATATGAAAACATTTGGAGATATTCAACTGAAGCTTATTCAGTTTACAGTAATCAGAAAACCTGTTTAGGTCTTTTTGAAGTTGTTTAACTTCTGTTAGATTATGAATAGTTTTAACAATTTTAAGGTCATCGGCGTAAAGTAGAATAAGAGAATTTTAAAACATGACTTAATATCAGCAATAAATATTGCGAATAAGAGGAGGCCAAGTAATGAACCCTGAGGAACACCAGATGGAATTGTACACCAACCAGAGTTGTAACCACGCAAAACCACAGTCTGTGACCGATTCTCTACATATGAACAACCATCTATACAAGTCACCGTGTATTCCCGCAGCTAATAGCTTTTGTAAAAGGACACGATGGTTAATACGATCAAAACACTTGCTATAATCTGTGTAAATTACGTCTACCTGTGCACGCTGCTCCATGCCTTTAGTGATGAATTCATAGGCCGAAATGAGATTAGAAATGGTTGAACGCTTTCGAAGAAACCCATGTTGTTCTTCACCCAAACAGTTTTGTACTGCATAATAGACTTCATTATAAACGATTCGTTCAAGAACTTTAGAGAATAGGCATAACTTTGAGATAGGACGATAATTTCCGACATTTGACTTATCGCCTTTTTTGAATACCGGTTGCGATAGCGCATGCATCTCAAACTGCCATATTAAAAGTTTTGCGTAGTATAAAAACAAATTATGAATAATAGTAATAGAATAGAAAGATAATAAGTTTAACATCACACAAATAGTAAGTTTAACATTATGAATAATAATAATAGAGTAAAAAGATAATGAGTTTAATATCACACTATTTTTGAAAGGTCTCTTTCTGACTTCACCATAATTATATGCGATGTATCGGTTTTTCTTACGTGTATCTTGGCATGCTTGACCCAGACATAGCGAAAATTCATTTCAACTGCTGCCTTTTTTGTTTTAGAGAGTAAGGTCTTATTGTGCACGGTAAGGTGGTCGTTGATGTAAATCCTATTGTTGCCCACAAATCCCAAGTAGCTTGATGTGAGATGGCTAGTCTTCGATGCATATCTGGCTGCCGCCACAAAATCTTCCTTCACATAGCGATTGCAGAAACAGATTATTATCGGTTTGATGTGCTCCCTCTCACGGGTTGGTACTCTCGTGACGAAATTAAGCTGAGTCTTTGTAATCGGATATTGTATCATAGTCCCAATTTTGGATATGATTTCGAACAAGTTTTCACCCTTGTCTGAGGTACTCCCTTTATTTCTACATTATTCATTCTTGACCATTGCTCCACAGAGTTCGACTCCTGCTCCAGTTTTTCTAATCGTGTCTGAATTAGGTTAGCATGTTTTTGTACTTTCTCGACCTGTACTAGACGCTGTTCAAAGTCCTTAATTTTGTCATTAAATTCTTTTAGCGCCAAATTAGTATTATTTAGTGAAGATTTAAGATCAGCAAATTCGGATCTCAGGGCAATGACTTCATCTTTAAGGCATTCTAATGGCGCCAGTTTATCAGAGAGAGCTCTTATCTCCTTAAGTATTAGTGCATCGGATTCAATCCTTGGTGATAAAGGAGGCTGAATAGAGTGAGTTTGCTTACATTTGATACATCGCCAGGTAGACTTTCTATCTCCCAGCTTGCGATAGCCAGCTTCGGTTATTCCATCACAATGAAAATGTAGCTCTTGATTGCACACAGTGCAGTGAGGACCTTCTGATAACAACTCCCCACATGCACCACAATTATAAGTATCCATTGCGACAGGTATTAACAACTTATAAGCTTAGATATAGAAAAGTTTGAGAAGCACTGGCTAAAATTGCACCGGTTGCACTAATCGGTGCGAATAGTAAGCGCGACCGTACGCTACGGAACAAAAAACGAACTGATGATGTGTCTGTAATTGTGGGGATGATCTTGAACATGTTCACAGACTGCAGACTTCCCGGAGCGTCGGTGCTTCACGTCAGCTATATGTTCTTTCACGCGGGTTTTTATGGATCTTTTTGTTTGACCTATGTAAGAGAGACCACATTCACAATCTAACTTGTATACTTCTGCATCTTGTAGAGGGATATTACACTTGACGGATGGTAAAAATTTGGCGGCTTGTAGTAGTATGTTTTAATGGAAGCTCGCTTTAAGATGTAGCCAACCTTGTCTGTGACTCCTCTGACATATGGTAGTACAGCAGGCACACGCTCGACTGTGGCCGGCTTCACTCGGTCACTGTGACGTAGGCGCGGGATCCGAAGCTTGTTGTCTTGCAACACTTGCTTGAAATGCTGCAGCTCAGCGCCCAGATGTTTTCTGTCACAGATCCCTCGTGCTCTCTGAAACAAAGATTTACCCACGTAGCTAACTGTGAAGGATGATGGTGAGATTCACCATTTAAATATGGGGTGGTATGGGTCTTTTTTCCGTGTAGTGGCGGTTAAGAATATCCACTACCCCATATCATCCCGTGGGTGTCGTAAGAGGCGACAGAGGGAGACAGGCAGGAGATGGGCCGCAGCGTCTTCCTGATGACAACTGTGACGTAATAAAAAAACTGCGGTTGCCAACCCGCTCGCCAAGCGTGGCAACTATGGCAAATACCCCCCAATGAACAAATACACAAACAGACGGCCCCCAGTCCCCGGCGGCCCCGCTATTCCTGGCTACGGTGGCGACCATGGTAACGGCGGGGCAGGGGGTGCTAAGAATCTCCGGTGGAGGTTCGGTTGCCACCTACGACGACTCGACCTGGCAACATATAACGCACGCACCCTGAGGACTGACGAGAAGATACTGGAGCTGGAAGAAGAGGTAGACAAGTTGCGCTGGCATATTATTGGATTATCCGAGGTCCGAAGAGAGGGGGAGGACACGGCAATCCTCGAGTCCGGCAACTTGTTCTATCACCGGGAGGGCGACCATCTGTCCCAAGGAGGTGTCGGATTTATCGTCCACAAATCTCTCGTCAACAACGTTGTAAAGATTGGGAGTGTGTCGACGAGGGTCGCGTACCTGATACTCAGAATCACCAAACGGTATTCGCTGAAGGTCATTCAGGTTTACGCACCAACCTCGGCACATCCCGATGAGGAGGTGGAGGAAATGTATGAGGATATTTCCAGAGCCATACATTCCTCCAGAACCTACTACACGGTGTTGATGGGAGACTTCAACGCAAAACTGGGCACAAGAGAAAGCGGTGAGCTGAAGGTAGGGAAATTTGGAGTAGGGCAACGGAACCGAAGGGGCCAGCAGCTGGCCGACTTTATGGAGAAAGAGGGACTCTTTATGATGAACTCTTTCTTCCAGAAGCGGCCCCACAGGAAGTGGACCTGGTCGAGCCCCGACGGTTCGACAAAAAATGAGATTGACTTCATTATGACGACCAGACGCCAACTGTTCAGTGATGTCTCAGTGATCGCAAGGGTGAAAACTGGCAGCGATCACCGAATGGTTAGAGGCACACTGAACCTAAACGTTAAGTTGGAGAGGTCTCGTCTAATGAAGTCAACGCTCCGTCCCCCCTCGTGCTCTAATCCAGAATCCCGAAACCTTTCAGCTCGAGTTACGTAACCGCTTCCAGTGCCTAGAAGATTGCAATGCAGTGGACGATATGAACGACAAGCTCGTGGAAACTGTCCATGCGGTCGGAGCTAAGTTCTGTAAGACCCGCCGCAGAAGAACACAAAAACTCTCCGATCACACTCTTAATCTCATGGCTGTTAGACGGGAGATGAGGCTGCAATCGTCAACAGATTTGACAGCATACAGGCAACTGAACAGACAGATCTCCAAATGCATACGGCGAGACTTACGCAACTTTAATACTTCTCGTATTAAAGAAGCGATCGAGCGGAACCAGGGCTCCAAAGTCTTTGCCAGAGATCTGTCTGCCAGAAAGAGCCAACTGTCAAGGCTGAAGACTGAGTGTGGCAACATCGTTTCCGGGACACCTGAGATTTTGAGTGAGATTGAGAGGTTCTATGGGCAGCTGTACACATCATCGTTGGAGCCACACGCAAGTGTGAGTAACGATCCAAGAGCAAGTCTTATCCGACACTATTCCGATGATATCCCGGACGTCAGTCTAAGCGAGATTAGAATGGCTCTCCAGCACCTTAAAAACGGCAGGGCCCCAGGCGAGGATGGAATTACAGCGGAGCTTCTGAAAGCGGGTGGAACACCGGTACTTGAAGTCCTTCAGAAGCTCTTCAATTCCGTCCTCCATGGTGGCACTACTCCAGAGGCGTGGAGCAGAAGTGCGGTGGTCTTGTTCTTTAAGAAAGGCGACAACGCTCTCTTAAAGAACTACAGACCGATTTCCCTTCTGAGCCGCGTCTACGTGCTGTTTTCGAGAGTCATTACGAATCGTCTCGCACGCAGACTTGACGACTTCCAGCCTCCCGAACAAGCCGGTTTCCGAAAAGGCTTCAGTACCATAGACCACATACATACCCTGCGGCAGATTGTACAGAAGACTGAAGAGTACAATCTGCCACTTTGCCTGGCGTATGTGGACTATGAGAAAGCCTTTGATTCCGTCGAAATTTGGGCGGTGCTACAGTCCCTTCAGCGGTGCCAAGTTGACTGTCGGTATATCGAAGTGCTGAAGTGTTTGTACAGTAGGGCTACGATGGCTATCCGAGTACAGAACCAGAGCTCGAAACCTATCCAACTGCAGAGAGGTGTAAGACAGGGTGACGTTATATCCCCGAAACTCTTCACCGCTGCATTGGAAGACGTTTTCAAGCTACTGGACTGGAAAGGATACGGTATTGACATCAATGGCGAGTACATCACTCACCTTCGATTTGCCGACGATATAGTCCTTATGGCAGAATCGCTGGAGGACTTAAGCACTATGCTCAATGACCTCAATAGTGCCTCCCAACGGATAGGTCTTAAGATGAACATGGACAAAACAAAGATCATGTTCAATGTCCATGTCACACCTATGCCGGTAGTTGTTGGGAGCACTATGCTCGAAGTTGTTGACGAATACGTTTACCTGGGACAAATAGTCCGACTAGGTAAGTCCAACTTCGACCGAGAGGTCAATCGACGGATTCAACTCGGCTGGGCAGCGTTCGGGAAATTACGGCATATCTTTTCGTCAGGTATACCTCAATCTCTAAAAACTAGATTGTACAACCAGTGCGTGTTGCCAGTGATGACTTACGGATCTGAGACGTGGTCCTTCACTGCTGGCCGTATGAGGACGCTTAAGGTCGCTCAGCGAGCTATGGAGAGGGCTATGCTCGGAGTTTCTCTGCGTGATAGACTCAGAAATGAGGATATCCGCAGTAAAACCAGAGTGACCGACATAGCCCAACGGATTAGTAAGCTGAAGTGGCAATGGGCCGGCCATATAGCTCGAAGAACCGATAACCGATGGGGAAGAAAGGTTCTCGAGTGGCAGCCTCGTACCGGTAGGCGTAGTGTAGGGCGACCCCCCACTAGATGGAGTGACGACCTGGTAAGACATGCAGGAAGTCGATGGATGCAGGTGGCTCAGGACCGTGCTTTGTGGCATTACTTGGGGGAGGCCTATGTTCAGCAGTGGACTTGTGAAGGGCTGTAATGATGATGATGATGATGATGGGTCTTTTTTCTATACACAGTGTGACCAATAGTGTTATCAGGATTTCGAATGACTAAACATCTAGGAAAGCTAAAGAATTATTTGCCTCTAACTCCATTATGAATTGTATTTTAGAGTTTATAGAGTTAAGGTGGTTTAAAAATGCAGTTACTTTTGCAGATGGTAAAATTGTGAAGGTGTCGTCTACGTACCGCTTGTAGAATCTCTGATTTACAGGAGCTGTAAGAAGGGCTTTCTCCTCGAAGTCCTCCATAAATATGTCGGCGACTATGGGAGATACAGGTGAGCCTATCACCGCACCATCTACTTGCTTGTAGAACTCTTCCTTCCACAATAGATAGCCAGATGTGAGGCAAAGTTTGAGTAATACTGCATATTCAGCAGGCATGTTGTTTATAGGCGCAGCAAGGTGCGATCGGGGAAGTATTGAATTTGGCGAGACAAGCAAAGCTTCGGAGCGGAATAAAGTGAATCAGTGTGATTAATTATTATGATTGGTGTTTTAAGTTTAATTAGTGTAAAGTGAATTAAAGAGTTTATTTTGGTAATTCTATCGGCAATTTTTATTGTCACGAACCTCAAGCTCGTAACATTATGGTATTTATTTCCGCCCAAATATGTGTTAAAACTAGTGTTGAAATTTGGAATTTTCGACGCTTATAACTTTTAAACATACTCTTTTTTACTTTTTTGTTTCCATACAGGGCTAGATAATGATGAGACAAATTGAAATCATTTTTTATTTTGAACTTTTTTATTTTGAAATGATTTTTCTGGTGTTTGAAAAGGACGAAGAGAGAACGTAATGTGAAATATGGGTAAATCAGGAATGTCTAGAACAGGTAAATGAAATTGTATACTTGGGGAGTGCTTTCAGCCGGGATGGAAGATGTGATTTAGATGTGGATAGGCGTGTCGCTGCCGGAAACAAAGTCAATGGTGCCCTGAATGCATTAGTAAAAAGGCAAGGCGTGGTGAAGAGTGCACGCCTTGCAATACATAACGCAGTGTTGGTACCGACTTTGTTATGTGGCAGCGAAATCTGGGTATGCCAGAAGAAGCATAAAAGCAAGTTGAATGCAGTGGAAATGCGATCTCTTCGTAAAATGTGTAGCGTTACCAAAGCCGACCGAAAGCGAAACGAAGAGATTCGCAAT